AAAAAATAACCTTTCCAAGTGTTGAAAATACACTTCAGGTTGATTTATAACAACCAGAAGTGTAAAATGGCCCACCTTAGGCTGAAAAATATATACCTCTACAAGCATAAAATTAGATACCTGAGGTTGAAAAATAATTACCTGAGGTAGAAAAAATTACACCTGAAGAAGATTTATAATAAGCTGAAGTGTAAAATGGCACACCATAGGTAGAAAAATATATACCTCTACAAGCATAAAATTAAATACCTGAGGTTGAAAAATAATTACCTGAGGTAGAACAAAATACACCTGAAGTTGATTTATAATAACGTGAAGTGTAAAATGACACACCTTAGGCTGTTGAATAAATACTTCTACAAGTGTAAAAAAATATACTTCAGGCTGATAAGTAATAACCTAAGATTGAAAATGAAACACTTTAAAGTAGTAAATATCTACCTCTCCACAGATGTAAAATTAAACACCTCAGGTTGAAACGCATATACCTCTGGAGGTATATTTAAGGTATATTTGAGGTTGATTTTGAGGTATTCATTTGCACCCTTTTCAACCTTAACGACGTATTTATATAACAACCTCCTTTATATCTTTAAAATATACCTCGTTTATACCTCATTTATACCTGGATTTTTTCATAAGGGAATGCTAAAAATTTAATTTGATTTATCAACATGGTTCATTCTTACATATTGGGAAAATTTTATGCCTTTATATAAAAGATGGCAATTAACTCATCCATAGTCGTGTCCGAACACTGTTTAGGAGCTGCGAAAAGTAATTTTTTGATGTGGCAGTAATTTCTTGATGAGTCTATCAGTGCTTCTTCTTACTCTAATCCACTGTTTAACCCGGTTTTATCACATATTTTACTTTGCAGTGTTTCTATAGATATAGTTTTACAATCCAATACACTTTTCCCGAATTATTAGAGACATATTAGATGTCTCTCAGAATGATGGCTATGGGGATAGAGCCCTCGCCTTTCTTTGACGTGACCCGGGTTCGAATCCTAGCGATGGCTGGTCTAAACGAATTTTACTCCCGAAGCTGAAAAACCACAATGCTTGCGTAAAACATCCTCAGTACTAGACGGTGAATGAGTTAGAGTGCCCTTACCGGCAGGCTAATTATGAGAGTTTTTCGTAGTTAAACCAGTTAAAATAAAAATAATAAAAAACGATACGGCGCAAGTGTGATTCAGCCACATTACAAACACAAACTTAACTACAAACAGAAAACTTTTTCCGAAAGTGCAGAAAGCTAGCAGCTCTGTGGAGTACAATAAAAGAAATTTTGTCCACCACTACTTTGAAAAACATTAAGAAAATATATTAGAGGTCACATAGTCTTTATTGCAGCAGGCCGGCAGGTGGCCGTGTGGTTAGCGTACCTGACTGCGAAGCCAGAGGTTGCGGGTTCAAATCCCGCTCTGGGCATGGATGTGTCTTTCTCAGCGTTGTCTTCTGATGTGCTAATGTGGCCCACCCTATGAATGGGTATCTGTAGCAGTGTTGCGTGGGTAATGTTGCTCGCCTCCGTGACTTTGGTTCACAGGTGCCCACTGGGTAACGATAAATGAGCAACATTTCCGGCATCTTCTAAAGCGAATAAAAGAAAGTTCAGCGCCTGCCATTACCGAAAAAAAAATTTCAAGGGGGGTCTAGAAATGCAAAAACAGGTGACATATAAAATACAAATTTTTCTTAAAGGATTATAACTAGCCACTGTTTATATCATTTTTTTTTCAGTTCACATTTGATAATGAATGCGATAGACCTATACCTATATGAGTTTGTCATCTGAGTATACAGCCCATTTAAGGCCTTTAACTCATCCATCTGATTGAGAGACGTAATAAAATTTGTGGAGCGCAACTATGATGGTGTGGGGTGGGGAGTGCCCTATGTCCTGGAGACCTGCTTCCCCAGCTGCTTTCTTTCACAGGTTGCTCCCCAGGAACAGTCCTGATCATACATGATTAAAATACAAAATATAAAATAAAAAAATAATACAAAAGACAATGGGGAGAGAAAATTATGATCATTATTTACAGAATTTCTTTGAGAGTGCCCCGTCAGACAGGAAGAACGCAGTTGCATGGCTATATCTAGTGATGTCTTTGATGAGGTCAAAATTAAAATTATCTTTGTAATCACAAGTATTACAATTTAATGCATTTTTGAAAAAGGAAGCACTTAGCTTGACTACGTGTTGGTTAATATTATCCAGGTTTAAGTCTTTTCGCAGGTCGTTCATGTTTATGAACACCTGTGATTCTTCTTAACATTTTATTTTCTGTAGTTAATAGTTTCTTCTTTTGCGTTTTTGTTGTAGCACTCCATGCAGGTGCAGCATAACTAATGATAGGTCTGATGCACTGCAGATAGTGTGTACGATTGGTATTTAATTTCAGTTGGAAATTTTTCTCTAGTATTTTGGTTTTAGGGTTAGAAAAGCCCCTCCCGCCTTTCAAGAAACACTTTTAATATGCGCATTCCAATTGAGATTATTGGTGATAGTCACGCCTAGATATTTGGTTTTAATTTACATTAAGGACTTTTTCTCCAAAGAGGTGTACATCTGGGATTTGTTTTTTAATTCTTTTGCTGTTTCTTTTGATAACAATTATTTCTAATTTGAAGCGTTTATGGCAGTTTTCCAAGTGGAACACCACTTTTCAATTTTTGGGATTTGCTTATATAAGTTTTGTACAGCTTTAAGTGAGGAAGGACAAAGATTTGCCGATAATAGCTGTGTCGTCAGCATAAAAAGCGGTGGTGATATTATTATTTTCTTTAAAATTCGGAAAGTCGACATAGTATATAAGGAATAATACCAGCCCTATTATGGAGCCCCATGGGACTCCGGCTTTAGTTTCCTTGTGGTTGAAAGTGCATTATTTACTTTGATGCTGAATGTTAGGTTAGATAACTATTGATTATTAAGATGAGGTCGTCAGGTATATTATTCTTAATTTATATATTATCCCCTGATGCCAAACGCGGTCAAAGGCTTTGGCCACGTCCAGCATCATGAATGCGATAGAATGCTTTTGCTTCAAATATGAATAATTTGAAATGTAAGTCATAGTGGAAATTAAGATGGAATAATTAAAAAGATAATAAATAAGCAAGTAATAATTGAGTTTAAACCACTTCTTACATTTTTATTCGCCTGTGGTGTCCTTGCATATTTTCTTGGCCATGAACTGAAGTACAAATCGATTTCGAATTTTTTTCTTAAGCAGGAACACCAGCTCCGTTTACCAAATATGGTTATTAAAGTTTCTTTGCTTTATTCCTTTATTTTACTATTCTCAC